TGTGTGTGTGCAGCGCTCGCGCGCGTGTCGCTGTGTGAGTACGCAGAGAGAGAGAGAGAGAGAGAGAGAGAGAGAGAGAGAGAGAGAGAGAGAGAGAGAGAGAGAGAGAGAGAGAGAGAGAGAGAGAGAGAGAGAGAGAGAGAGAGAGAGAGAGAGAGAGCGTGTGTATGTGCGTGCGCGCGTGCGTGTCTTCGTGTATGTGTTTTGCGGTAATGGAATTTAAACTGGCTGCGCACTTTTCGACTGCAGTTTTACTCCGCGGTTGACAATGTCCCGCAATGTTACTTTCTATCAAGTAGAGTACGTAGCCGCACTTACTGCACGCGCGCACTTACTGCACGTACGCACTTACTGCACGTACGCACTTACTGCACGCGCATGCAATTACAATGTTGCTTTGCCGTCTCTTGCCGTCTTTAGGGTCTGGCAACATAAAAGCAACAATTGCACTTTTTTGCAATTAGAGAAAATAAAAGCAAATTGCCGTGGCAGCACCGTGCAGCCGTATATTTCCACGGGATGAAGCGCAGATCCGTGTAGCCCACTGAGCGGTATATCATACATATTGTATGTTATTATATAAAGTTCAGCGGTATATGACCACGTGTGAGAGTATTATATGAGCGTGTGAGTAGCGCGTGAGCGAGTGAGTAGTAATGCTGAACCGCGTTTAGATGTGAATTGGCTCACAAAAACGGACGGATGAACGTAGACGGTAGGTTCGCGGTGGATTGATATTGGTAGGGAGCCATAAAAAATTATTATTCACATCTGACATATACATAATTTTAGCTTTTATCCACTCCTGGATCTAAGTATGTTTTAGACATACGTGTAATATTATCAAGAGCTGTTAATACAATAATATTAATAATAATACAACAGAATAAATACATAATTACAGAAATAACACATGTATTATTAGCTCTTGATATGCGTGGTTCTTCCCAGGAATTTAAAAGGACGGATATGGGAGAGTGCCTGGAAAGGTGTTAAAGGAGTCAATCGCGTGTCATAAGCTGCCCCAATACACAGGTAAACTCGATCAGTTCAGAGAGGTACACATAAAACTGAAAATGCAGTATAACCGTGTTTGGATTTTCAAAAATAAACAGTTGGAGCATATTGAAGGATTTATAAGATGTCACAAATTAGCTTTAGTTTAGAAGGCATGTTGGATTTGACATGCATTAAAGGTCCGGGAAAACCCCTGCATATATTAAAGATATCATGGACACATGTATATATATTCAAAAGTGAATAAAATATCACTTATCTAAATAAATTCGTTTAAACTTTACTCTCGATAAATGTCATGATATATATGAATTATATGTGCGTGCGTGCGTGCGTGCGTATGTGTAGACATGAGATAATACGTGTTCATGATAATACCTGATAATATCAGAAGTGTCATAATGTAGCAGGGTAGAATCAATGGCCACGTATATCTACGTATAACTGTGTGTATCTGTGTAGCAGGGTAGTGTCAATAGCTGTGTATCTACGTGTATCAAGAGTAGATAATAACACATGTGTTATTATCTACTCTTGACGTGTATCTAGCCGATAGCGGCACTTAGAGGATAATTGAGTTAAAGACAAGTAGCGTTAGAAACCGATCGGTGTGTATCTGTATATGTGTCTATATCTACACTATATCTGTGCATGGCCGGCGTTCCATAATTAGGTTACCTCCACGAGTGCTATGGCCGGCACGCTGTAATTGGGCTATAGTGGCGAGTGCCTCTATCTCGGGGCGCTGTAATTAGATTACAGCTATGAGCACCGCACTTAGCCGCAGTAACGTATCACTGCTACGGCCGCGGGTCGCGCGAGTACGCCGTGATGCTGCCGTGTCGGCATGCTGCTATCGAGCCGGCATTCCGACACGGTGGAAGCCATCGGATAGGCGGGTACGTGTCGTGGCCCCCAGCGGGAGCCGGGCGAGAAGGCACTTAGGAGACCGTGTACTTAGAGGTGGCGTATAACAGTAAGCCTCCGAGATTGTTCACCGTTGCACTACTTCGTCTCTAGAAAAGGCCTTTTTTGGCATTTTTTTCCGCCGAAATTCGGCACTAGAGTGCAATAATTAGCATTATGCACGCAAGGTGGATGCGTCGTGGACGTCGAGAAAGCATTAGAAGTGAAATTGGTTTTGTTGTGTATTCGTGACATTCCGTCAGGCCGTTGGCGTAGCCACAGTCACCGGTTGGTGTTTTTTGTGTATGAAATGTGTTCAGACAACTTTGCAGAAATTCGCATCATAGAGCTGGCAAAAGTTTTGAGCGGAGCATAGAGCATGAATCTGTAGCATGAATAAAGTGTATGTTTTGTAAGTGTAGTAACA